AAACATGTTTGCTACCTAATCTAGGGGATAAAGACTAATTTTTTGGTGGGAAACCACAGTGTTTTTCCAATGCCAATGGTTTGAATAAATCTAGAAAGTTTTACAACTGGAAATACATTAACCATTTTTTTTACTTGTTGAAATTTTTTAAAATATTGTGGTTATTCAATCTATTCCTCAACATTCAAACTGAAATAATATAGTGAATGTTTATCAATCTAATTAAAGACTTTCTTAAGTCAGTTTTTGTGTTATGTGTTTTATTTAATGTACCCACCTGCATCCTCACCTGTAGGTAGATGGAGCTGCAGTAAACAATAATCAAAACGCACAACATTTCCATAAAATCACTACATCATGAATACAGTAGTATATCCTCTGTATTATTTTGCATGACTGTAGACAATGAATGGCCACTGAGTGAAGAATTGAAGTGATCTATAAAGTACATATCACCTTCAGTTACCTAGCTGTATTAGGTGACATAGACAGTGGCATCAAGTGCAGCCTCAGCAAGTTTGCCAAAGACACCAAGCTGTGTAGTGTGGTCAACACGCTGGAGGGAAGGGATGCCATCCAGAGGGACCTTGACAGGCTGGAGAGGTGGGCCTGTGCAAACCTCATGAAGTTCAACAAGGCCAAGTGTAAGGTCCTGCATCTGGGTCAGGGCAATCCCAAGCACAGACACAGGCTGGGTGATGAGTGGATTGAGAGCAGCCCTGCGGAGAAGGACTTGGGGGTGCTGGTGGATGAAATAATGAATATGAGCCAGCAACGTGCACTCACAGCCCAGAAAGTCAACAGCATCCTGGGCTGCATCAAAAGCAGCGTGGCCAGCAGGTCGAGGGAGGGGATTCTCCCCCTCTACTGTGCTCTGGTGGGACCCCACCTGCAGTGCTGTGTACAGCTCTGGGGCCCCCAGTGTAAGAAAGGCATAGACCTTTTCAAGCAAGTCCAGAGGATGGTCATGAAGATCATCAGGGGGCTCAAGCACATCCCCTGTGAGGACAGGCTGAGAGAGTTTGGGTTGTTCAGCCTGGAGAAGAGAAGGCTCCGGGGAGACCTTAGAGCGGCCTTCCGGTACTTAAAGGGGACCTACAGGCAGGAAAGCTGGAGAGGGACTTTGTGCAAGGGTATGTAGTGACAGGACGAGGGGTAATGGCTTTAAACTGAAAGAAGGTAGATTTAGATTAGGTGTAAGGAAGAAATTCTTCAGTGTGAGGATGGTGAGACACTGGAAGAGGTTTCCCAGAGAAGCTGTGGCTGCCCCCTCCCTGGCAGTGTTCAAGGCCAGGTTGGATGGGGCTTTGAGCAACCTGGTCTGGTGGGAGGTGTCCCTGCCCATGGCAGCGGGGTTGGAACTGGGCGATCTTTAAGGTCCCTTCCAACCTCAACCATTCTATGGTTCTATGATTATTACAATTGCTTTCCCACTTTCTGGTAGGGACATAGTCTCCTAGGAAAGGAGGAACACATCACATATTTATGTGTATGGAGTGCCATTATAGAAAAGAATACTTTCTAGATTAGCTGACTAACTCCACATCTGGGATGTGATTTAAAGCATCTTACAGATGAGCACCATGCTGGTTATTTACTTCAGCTTTACCAGCTGGTAAGTGCTTTCCTGCATTGCTAAGGTCATCAGGATTTTAGTCAGCAGTTACAGTGTTAGCTACAACAAGATTACTTGCTACATTTCCTGGGCAGTGAGACATACCAGGAGCTATAACAGGACTCTGGAGATCTGAATTTGTAGTAACATCAGTCGCAAGTGCTGCCTCAGACAAGGATACAGATTTAGAGTGGTGAAGTGGGACAGCATTTTGGTTTGCAGGTACTCGAAAGACCACCTGCCCTTGCGCATGAACTTCTTCATGGAGCACCACTCTGTGTTCCCGTGGTGAGTTCAAAGCTGATGCTTGCAGAGTTCAAACATGAGGCAACAATTGTCAACAATTTTGTGTCCTTATATATATATATGATTTGTGCTAACCTCTCCCTGAACAGTTGTATTTATAGCCAGGTATGTTTTACATATATAAGAACACATAATTCTCTTTATATTATAGGTATTCTATAGAAATATTATTATACATACATATGCCTGTGTGGCCACAACAATGCAGAAAAAATGATCTCTGCTTGCTATGCCATCCTTAGGAGGTAAGAGCAAAGCACCTCACATAGGCTTTATGCTACAACAACCTTTGCTGAATTTGCTGCGTCATACAATCTCTAATGATTGCTGCATTGTACCTAACTTCTAGTGAAAATGTGTGTAATCAAATAGAGCTCATGTTCCTGAAACTTGCCTGTTGCTTTGGTAGTTGACAATGAAATATGGCTGTAGCCATTGACTACATCTGTCAAAATGCCTGAGATCAATCTTAAATACTTGCCAGTTGACTGAGGACAGTTCTGTTTACATCTATAATGTTCAATTACCCTGTACTTCTATCTTCTGGATGAAGAACAGTCATATCATCACAATCATGAGACAAACTGACATTAATAAGGACTACTGCTTGAAGTCCCAGAGATACCACAGATTCAACGGTCCTTAGAAAATAATCTAGTTCTGGAGATTATCTGTTCAAGGAGACGATCAAGAGATAACAACAAAACAGAAAGTTAGGCTGACACTGATATTCTTCAAGCTGTACCTCTTTTGTAGATAACCACCAGACTCTAAGCCTCTTGAAGTCAGCAAGAGTTTTTCTACTATCTTCATCAGAATTTGAGTACTACCCAAGAACATGTCAGTGCTGAAGGCCGTCAATCCAACAAGTTTGCTAACGGTCACTCATCACCCATTTCTATTTAGAAGACTCTAAACTGAGAAGACACTCATTCTAAAGCTTTTAATTCTAAAACCAACACTAAAATAAAGCGGAAGAGTTAAAACTGAAGTTTTGCTACAGAAGAACATACAACAAAGCACATCCTTTAATATTTGCATTTGATAAAACACCCTACAATATGCTCTTTTCTAATAAAAACGTAAAAATGCTAACTCATTAAAAGAATAATGCAAACTATATTATACATTACACAGCACTACAATACAGTAAAGAGTTTTGCAATATCTAGGTAGCATTTGGATAAAGGAAATGGTTGTATTAAAGGACATCTCTGGGCTCTGGATAACTGAAAGGTTTATTTTGCTAAGAATACAAATAAGGTACTGTACCATATAATAATAACATGAAATTAAAAAAATAGAGAAAGGAATCATTTAAGTTTAGAAAAAAATGTGAAACTAATTAAAAATTTTAATTTTTAAAAATTTGGCTGGAGTCTATGTTGGGATCTTATGTGACAAGACCAGCTATGTCTATGTCACTTGCTGAGATTCTAGTACCATTCAAGTGGCAGTATTCCCACAGACCTCTGAGATAGAATTTCACTCAGAATGTTCTATATTTTTCTGTGGATTTCAAAACAGACTTCCACAATTCAGAAGGATTTAGCATTCTACCTCTATCAGGCATCTCTGAAAAATCTAATGTTATCACTGCATTTACTTCCCACAGAAGCTGAAGAAGGACTGTGGTGTAACTCTCCCATTACTGTCACGCAGCACATACTCAGCATTAAAATTATGCTAGCTACATGGGAACACAGACAAATAGTCAGCTGCTTGTTTAAGCTACACAAATTTATATCAGAAAAAATGCATCTACATGTGCTTTTTTGTACTTGTACCTAGGACTGGGGACAGACTGCAGGGTAAGGGAGCAGAATAAGGAGGAGTAAATGGTGCCATGTCACTCGTAGTTCTTCCTTTTCACCTTCTCCCAGTTAGCTTTGGCCAGTCCAGTTCACGTTATGGGGGAACTGCTGTGACTCTTGGTATCCTTCCTTCCTTTATTTCACATATGCAATTCTGTTACACTGTTTGTTAATCAGTTCAACTGGAACTGGCCAAACTCTTCAAAATAGATTAGCCCTAAAAGGTAATTTATTGCCATAAATAAAACCTTAAAAAGTATAAATAGGGTCCACCATCCATATGCTTTGTCTTCAAAGAAAGTCAACACCAGCAATGCTTACAGAACCGTGCTCATCAACAGATTACTCTGCTTGTAGTGATGGGTCTCTCTTTACAGGAAATGCTTGCTCAGGAATGACCTTCTCTAAACGGTGTCCTAAATTATACAGTGTCTCAGAGGGCTGCCTGATTTCACAGCCAGACAGCTAGCCAGCAATAGTAGGTCCACCGCCACTTTAATCAAAGCAACTCCATATTATAAGCTAATGTTTGGAGCAGCTTTTCAGAGAAATCCCAGAGCAGCCAAAGACAAGAGCATCTGTAATGGACTCTTTTGTTTAACAACAGCATGGAATGGCTTTAATTTCTCTCCCAAGATTTTCAGATCTCTGAAACAAGGTGGCAGGTATCGCCAAGTGTTGAGTCTATGGAAATACCCTGGACTTTCTTTTTAATTCTTCTTTCTATGCTCCAGGCAATGGAGATGAAATGGAAGCAAGAGCACAAATTCCCATTTTAATTTGTATCCACTGTGATTGCACTGCTTCATCCTCCTCTTTCAATGGGCCTTGCTTTCTAGCACAAGCATTTTTCCCTTTTACAGCACAAAACCAATCACACCCACAAGGTTTGTCACACCACTAAACAGCAACACTACACTGTCTCGTCCTTTCCTGTGGGAGCAGCTTAAAGGATGGAAAGTCCAGCCAGCTGGTTTTGAAGTGATGGAAGCTGCTGGAAGGAGATTACCCAGCAAAACAAATCAACAAGTAACACTGGGATCTGCCTTCTGCCCTAATAGCTGGTGGGCCAGTCTTACGTATCATTCCTCAAGATGAGTTTTTGCTTTTTTGTATTTTTTCCTGCCACTGGTAGGAGAAAGACACCCATGAATAAAGTCTAAGCTAATACATCCAGAAGGCCAAAG